TGAAAGTGTGAGTGTGTGAGAGTGTGTGTGTGAGTGAGTGTGCATGGAAGTGTGTGAGCATGTGAGTGTGTGAGTGTGTGTGCATGTGTGAATGTGTGTGAGTGTGCATGTGAGTGTGTGAGAGTGTGTGAGTGTGAGTGTGCATGTGAGTGTGCATGTGAATGAGAGTGTGTGTGTGTATGTGCATGTGTGTGTGAGAGTGAGTGTGTGAGAGTGTGTGAGTGTATGAGTGTGGGGGTGTGAGTGTGTGTGTGTGAGTTTGTGAGTGTGTGCGTGTGGGTGAGTGTGTGTGTGTGTTGGTAGAGGTAGGGTCACTCATGATTCTGTAAGCAGCTCCTCACTCATATTCTTGTAAATAAATCCAATAAGTCGGTTACTTCACCAAGGTAAACTTGGGTGGAATCATTACATTGGCTTGCTATCTGTGCCCTGTATGAGTTGAGTACATTTTCTTATATCACCCCTGAAGTAATACAACAAAAGTATAACAGTCTATGCTTGGCCCCCAAAAGGTTGTCCATCTCAAAGATGCAAAATGCATTTAGTCCGTCTTATGAGCCTCTAGTGTCTCAATAGTTCTGTCTTTGTAGAAAAGTGTAAGTTCAAAATCTTCTCTGAGACTCAATGCAAACTCACATCTCTGAGCCATGCAAAATCAAAGGGAAGGGTTTGGGATGTTCTCAGTGACAGAGTGTTTCCTAACATGTGAAGCTCCAGAATCAACACTTAGTACTTCAATAAATGAATAAATAAATAGATATCGACATACATAAATTATGTATTTCCAAATACAGTGGTGGAACAGATTATACATTGTTGTTCTATAAGTTAAGAATAGAAAAAACAAGTAATCAGATCAAACCAAGTCTGGAACCTAGCAGAATGAACATGAAATCCTGTAGCTCCGTGTTGGGCATCTGGAGCAGGGTGGCATAATGTAAGCTCCAAAGGGTAACCCCACTCTTGCATTCTTTTGGGATAGAGCCCTGGCCTCTTTCCTGAGCTGACTTCGCTGTGTGAGGCTTTCCTCAGCAGACGTTTCACATCATTGGCATCTTTAACAGTCTTGATCGCCACTGTAGCTTCTGCATTGTGGTCAGAGTTTCATGCGTCACTCTCGTGGACTGCCTGTGGGATTTAAATCCAAACGTGCCTCGCCTGGACTTCTAGGCTTTTCTGTGAAATCTTTGTAGGAGCATCTGTGACCTTGCAGCTGTTCCACCGTGCATGCCTGTACCTACTATTTTAACTCAGGAAATGCTTTGCTGTCTTCATTTTACGCACGTATTTTCTTGGGGTTTTCTTCATGTACCGAGTTCCTCTTCCTATATGAGCACATCTTGCTTTGCCAATCTTTTGATTTCCCAAATTTGTTGTATCCTCTTCATTTCTTTATCCATATGGAACTGTATCTTTAAAGGCATTACTTTATTGTCTTTTTAGAATCAGAGGATACAAGTTACTCCCTTTTCCATGGGAAGTTGTGCACTTTTACTTTTAAACAGAAACGCTGAGAATAATTCTTTGTGCATTTTGACGACAATATTGTTTCTATGCTATGAATACTCACTAGGTTATTTACATTTATTGTTTTTCATCATTCATATTATTTTACTTTTTTTTAGTACTGAGGTGAACATCTGCTCCATATATCTTTGAGCTCGCTGACAATTATTTACAGACAATAGATTTCAAATGTAGGTGACAAGTGACTGCAATGGAAAGCATAGCTTGTTCCCTATAGATCTTAGTACAATGGGCGCAGCATGGGAGGTGTGGTGGCTTCATTCAGGGTGTGATGAAGTAAGAATCTCCACTGTGGTTTCCACAGGAAGGAGAGGGCATGGTCAGAAGACGTGAGATTGGCTAATTTGAATGATTTCTCTGGGCTCTCAGGGTGCTCTAACTGGTGCCTTCTGATTATGGCAAGAAGGTAGAGATTCAGAGTGTGAGAATCTGATAAAAGAGGTGGTTGAGGATGTTGCCTTAGGATAGGTGTGCTTGTTTGAGAGAGACACACTAATAAGTGATTTACGAGCAGTAGGGATTAGCTACCTGTGTAGGACAATGCCTTATAGATTAATTAAGGCCACAGGTACTCCAGAGAGCATTCCAACAGAGAAAATAAAGAGCATGGCTAAATCCTTATATTTACGGACAAGTACGACAGTCACCACTTATCAAAAAAGCTTCTTTTGCAATAGACAGAGACTATTATAGAGTCCCACAGCTGGTTACACATGGAGATTAAGTGTCTGTGCAATGCCCAACCCTCAGTGACACATCTACAATGGAACCTCTATACCTAAGATTCACAGAACACAGTGGAACAAGGTATAGAAAGAACACTAATGCATCTCTCAACTTTCATCAATGAAACTCCCTCATGTAACCGAGGGCAGTGAACACAAAAGGCCACAAATGACCAAGGCATGGAGCACAAGTCTGCAGAGTGTGGCTCCTTGGACAGGATTCTACTCACCCAGGACTCAGGGACCATTGAGGAAGAACAGACAAAAAGACTGTAAGGGCCAGGGGAGGTGGTGCATGACCATATGGAAACAGAGTCCTACAGGCTCTTGGGACCTTGCTCATATGACTCTATAGCAATGGGGTCAGCATGCACAAGACTCATGAAAACTCTAAACAGTCAAAAGCTCAGCACATAACTGGGAAAATGGGAACAGGCCCCAATCTTAGTTGAAGAACTACTGACAGCTGATTATTGATGGGTAAAGGAGAACTGATCTTCTTTAAGGGAGTAATTCTAGATAGGCTGACTAGACCCCAGTTGATGAACTTGCACTGAGAAATGTCTGGGTACACTAACTTGACTCAATAAGACTTAACCTAAATGACAATGCATGAAATCCGGTGTGGCGTGGCTATGGGAGGGTGAGGATGGGGGAGTGGGTATAAAGATGATTAAGATGCTTTGTATGAACTACATAAAAATTCAATAAAAAATTGGAGAGATCATACTAATGACTCAATGATGCACCTGAAAGCCTTAGAAAAAATAAGCACCCCCCCCAAAAGATTAAATGGGCAGAGATAACCAAAATCAGAGCTGACATCAATTAAATAGAAATGAAAAAATACAAAAGAATCAATGAAATGAAGAGTTGGTTCTTTGAAAAGATTAGAAAGATTGACAAACCTATAGCCAAATTAACCGAAAGAGAAAGAAGACCCAGATTAATAAAATCTGAAACAAAAGGGGAACCGTTTCAAGAGCTACTGGGGAAATTTAGAGAATCGTAATGACATGCTTTAAAAAGCTATACTCCACTAAACTGGAAAATCTAAAACAAATGGATGATTTCTTAGATATGTATGACTTACCAAAATTAAACCAAGATGATTTTTATCAAAAGGTGAAAGACTTTTACCAGGCCTACAACCAGGATCTTGTTTTGCTATCCTGCTTCTGCGCTTAGAATAGAAGGAATCCCCAAGGCTTCATGCTTATCAATGTACAGCATTCTTATTCTTGGAGTCTTTATTGATGCTGCGCAAACCTTAAATCTTTACATGAATTATGCATTTATTTTGTGCATTAGGAAAAAATTCTAATATAAAATCCATGACTTACGTTTCTCATTTGCAGCAGTGATTGGTGGGAGTTTAAGAAAATGTTCATTTCCTAAAAAAATTCTTAGCATATACTAAATGTATAAACTAATGGGTTTCCCTGTGACGTTTTCATATGTGGATATAAAGTACTTCATTGTATTCATACCCTTATTACCCCTTTTTATCTCCTTTCCCCCCAATGTCCAAAGTTCTTTGGTACACATCTGGAACATTTCCCAGCCTTCTTTGCAATTAGATTGATCATGTGTGTCATCATCTCTCCAATGACATATCAGTGCAAATGACTTGTGTCACATTCAGGCCTGGATGCTGAGATGCTCTCTACTGCTGCTCTTTTATCCCCTTCCCCCTGTGCAGATGGCTGGAATCAATATCCACGCAACTTTAGAAGCCATAAGTAAAATCTTTGACAGAGTCATCTTAGTCTAGATCAGGGATCAGTAAGCTATAGTCCAAGGTTCAACTGTGGCTTGCTGTCTATATTTGAAATAAAGTTTTACTGAAACACAGTCTTGACCATTGCTTATGCATTGCCTTTGACTGTGTTCAATGTAGTAGCAGATTTGAGAAGCTGCTACAGACAGTGTAAGGTCTGCAAAGCCCAAAGCATTTATTACAGGTTTCTTAGTGTACAAAGCTTCTTTACACCCTGTTCTAGGTCTTTGGGTTAGCATGAAGGATGTCATTTTGTTGACCTGAACAACACTGTAATTCCTTACATAAGTAGGAATAAGCCATTAAAATTCTGGGTCTTTTTTTCTACTCTTGATCACTCCCCTCTCACTAACAGTTTCGTCCTCAGCAGTCCTTCAGAAAATGCGATGTGGTTTGCTGAATGTCAGTCATCTGTTCCTGTCAGTCATCTCAGGATGCAACTTATGTCTATGGAGTGTACAACTCTTTCCCTGGAACCCACCTACAGATCAAAGATTCTCTCAGACACTGACTCAGTCAGTCTCAGGACCATATTGACCCCAAGGAGAATGACCCCTATTTACAAACAGCATCAGCAACTTTGGGGCTATGGCTACTTTAGACCTAAGTTTCACTAAGTCTAAGGGCATCTGCCTGCTAATGCCTGACCTTGGGAAGATCACCAGGCACTGAGATGAGAGTTCTACAATAGAGAATGTCTTATCATGAAGTTGTATGTGTTTATGGTCATCTGTTATTTGAGACTTGGGTATAGACAGTTCAGACAAAAGAGGGTAGACTGGGCAGGTATGACTTAGTGGCCCTAAAGTGTTTCTGGGGAACCTTTGGGAAGAGGGAGAAGTTCTTTGTTACATTAGATTACGCAGTTTGGTTGGGCAGAAATCAAGGGCAGGGATTGAGGTTTGGGGTGGGACAGTGCATTCTTTGAGAGGAGTATAGAGAATTCAGAGCCTCAAGATCCTTCCATGATGTGCCTGTGTACTCTGGTCCTGGCCTCTTTCTCTGCTTGCATGGGTTATGGTGAGTCCCTCTGAGATACAAATATACAGAAATCCTGCTCCTGGGAAGAGGTGAACAGAAATGCACATAGAGCAAGGCATTATGGGTCTGGCTCTGCAGCACTGTTCATTCTCTTTTGGACTTGGACTTGGATTTGGAGCATCATGGCCAATTACCCTTGGCCATGACAAGCACACAGGGGAGAATAAATCAATTCTCTGGGCCTGCTGCAGGCATCAGGTTCAAGAGGGTGCTGGCTAACCTCAGGCTTTACACATGAGAATGAAGACAGATCAGATTATGTCTCCCTTGACTCTTAATCTGTTTCTAGACAGATCATGAAATATCTGAAATGGATCTTGCAAAAAACTTAGCAGAATATCAGGAGCAAGGGTGTGGATCTGAAATCCAGGTCAGGCCTTCTTAGCTGTGCATCTCTCTGCTAGGCACTTACTATTCTGTGCCTGAATGACTCGCCTCTGAAACAGGGATGATAACAATATGGTGCTGGACTATAGTGAGGATGAAATGGGGGTTTGTTTCTACAACATTTAGGATGGTGACTGGTCTAGGGAAGGAGATGAACACAGGAGTGTGTGTGAAAGGGGAGGCACCAGGATCGTTTAGAATGTATGAGGTGGGATACTGTGGGAAGGGGCCTGAATGGAGGAGGGAAGGCAGAGGAAACCAGTGTGCAGGGCTGGCTTTTTGGAGTTACTTAAGAGGACTTTGGGGAACAAGGCCTATCCCGGTTTTCTGTCATCTGGCTTTGTGTGACCAGGCCAGGAGTGGCCCAGGCTATGAGACTCAAAATCGGGTGACTGGGGTATGAACTCTGGAGTGTTTGGACTCTGGGAGTGACAGCTCCCCAGGATCAACAGAGCATCACAGGTCAAAGCAACAGATAAGAAACTAGGATCTGTGGTCAATGCGGGGGTGTAATGAGAGGTCTTGTCACACATCTGTGCCATTCCATGGAGGGGGGAACTGAGGCTCTCACAGACATGCACTCATTGAAGTTTGCTTGGAAAATCAAACTCAGGCTACCTCTGATTCGAGTCCAACACAGTGCTCACCTATTACAGCCCTGAGAACACAGGTCCGGTCTGAATTTTATCTTCTTTCTGGGCACTTGACCTCACAAGACGCCTGGAGCTGAATGTAAGACAGAATGAGGAGGACGCAAACCTGGAGTGGAACATTTCTTCACTGCTGTTCATGCTGGCAACGCCACCCTATCTTCATCATTAGTAGGTCCTTACAGGCTGCTTTGAAATTCTGTTTGTTATTCTGTCAAGTGGGCATATTAACAGGCACCTAGCAAGACTTAGGGGAATTCTATATAGGGACTGGAATACACATCTGGCACACAGTAAGTGCTCAAGATGTGTAATTATGTACATTTGATATCACATAAGTGGCGTTTGTTATGGCACTCTTTATCCTATGTTAAGCATGTTTTTATCTTGGACAATCTTCACAAGGGTGGAAAGTCACTGTGCCGTGACAGGGCAAACCTAGTGATTTCTGTTCAGATGTCACCCACACTCACCTCTTTTAAGTACTCGGTACTCTTGTAGGCCCTCTTGGTGGGCTTCTACAATGTGGCCCTCCTTCCCCTGCCCTGAGTATGGTAGGTGTTCTCATTCTTTGCTGTGCGTGGCCCTGTGTTTTAACTTTCAATTTTTCTTTTTCCCGCATTCTATTCTCTGCAGTGAAGCCACACACATCTGAGGCATATAGCATCACTTTCAGCTGGATGACTCCTCCTGTGTCTCATTGACCTCTTTACAGTGTTGAGATACTCACATTCAGTGGAAAATTCTTTTTTATTTTTAGATTTATTATTTATTTTGTGTATGGGTGTTTGCCTGCATGTATGCAAGTGCTCCATTTGTGAGCAAGGCATCGGAACCCTGGAACTGGAATTATGGATGGCTGTTAGCCGCCACATGGGTGCTGGGAACTGAATCTGGTTCCTCTGCAAGAGCAGTCAGTGCTCTTGATTGATGAGCCATCTCACCAATCCCCAGAGGCAAGTTCTCAACAGGACATCATACTGAATCCCCTGCTGAAACTGTCTCTCCTGGAGCCAGCATCACACACCTGATCATCAGTCTTTGTTCCCTTCCACAGACTCCTCACTGGGGCAAGAATCACGTCCTAATTCTGATGCCTCATATACAGCTCCATGTTTTTTCATAAGTTTTTTTTTCTTTTAGCTAGAAAAGGGGTTTTTATTCAGTGCAGAAATAATGGAATCATAAAGAGAAAAAGCAACTTGCAGTGCTTCTAACTCAAGATATCCTAATGTTTATGTTGCCCAGGAAGTTCATCTTGGTGATATTGGTGATAACTAGGAAAATAATGAAAGAAAAGTAGCATGGGGTTAGCTTACAGTCACATGCAGTAGGGGTATGGGCTTCTAGCCTTATTTCCCATTGGCTTTCCAGCATTAATGGTTATTCTTCTGTAATAAGGACATCCTTAGGCTTATGATGGGGTTAGGTCATGATAAATTCATGATCTTAAATTTGAAAAACTATACGTCAAAATATCATAAATCAAGAACCTCCTGGATGTGTCTCCTTGAAAGTTTATAAACTGGTAATAATTAGCAGCTACAACAAAAATCAACTTGAATATTCATGGTATGGAACTTGCAATTGACACTGTAAGACCTGGGTACTGTTTTAAAAACTTTTCCCATAAAGAGTTTCTAATACCTTGGCCATTCTTCTTTTAGGCCAAGTCTACATTACCATTTTCTCTCTGGAGACACACTTTGAGGGACATGTCGATATACTACCTGTATCCAGAGGGGAACAATTGGGAGGACATGAGTCAAGATATTATTTCATAGGAAGGGGGTCCTGGCACACTAAGGTTATCGAAGTCAGACAAGAGATGATGTCAGGAGTGACACGAGGAAGGGGGGTTGGGTTTAGAGCCGACAGAGGAGGGTTCTAGATGTTTGCTGTGCTTTCTCCTTCAACGCACTTCTCGTAGCCTATTGCCCATGAACTAAATCTCAGACCTTATGCTGGTCTTCCACCTGCTCACCCAGGAGCATAGTTCTCTTCTCATAGACTCCATTTGGTGGCATCATAGGTCCTACGTCCTTTCCAGCTAACCTGTGCTTTGCTCTCTCTGGGCCTTTGTGCAGTCTCTTCTCTCTGCTTTGTGTTTTCCCGCCCCCTCTTCCTCCACTCCTCCCATCTGCCAGTCTTAGCACCTCCACAATGACATCAGTCAGAAGGCCTCACTCTTCCTCTCAACTCCCATAGCCCCTTCCTGCTCTTCTCCCAGTTCACAGCCTTCTTCTTCCCGGAATTAGATCAAACATGTCTGTGCTCCTTCCCCTACAAGGTCAGCACCCTGCCAATCGAAGGGGATACTTCTTGTTCATCTGTCACCCAGCACTGAGAACCTAAAGGATAAATGTTTCCAGAGGTTTCTGAGAGGGAAGCCAAAGGTCTGTTTATTCCCAGCAATTCTTTTTTTTTTTTCAATGATGTTATTCATATGCTCTTCTGTCTCTAATTATAATTTACTCTTTCCATAATACCTGTGAGTTAGGAAGGACAGTTTTCTTCATTCTTAGTTTACATGAGAAGAAACAAAGACCTAGAGGGCTCAGGTGACTTATCCAAGGTCACACATCTAGAAAGAGGAAAAGCTCACTAGGAATTCAGTTCTAACCTTCCTTGTCTGATGTGTCCGTCTATTCTCTTGTCCAATAGGGCACCTGCCCTCACCACCCATAGCGGATACTGTGCATGGAAAAGTCCTGGGGAAGTACGTCAGCTTAGGAGTCCCACAGCCTGTGGCCGTTTTCCTGGGCGTCCCCTTTGCCAGGCCCCCTCTTGGATCCCTCAGGTTTGCTCCGCCACAGCCTGCAGAGCCATGGACCTTTGTGAAGAATGCTACCTCCTACCCTCCTATGTAAGATGCTGGAGTGGGCCTGGGCTTCTTTCAGTGGGGATGTCTGTTTCAGTGATGTGGGCAGGAGTCGAGGCAATTCTCTGATCAGTTATACTTTGTTGTGGAAGTCTCAAGAACACTGTAGAAATTAGAAGCTTCTAGAAAAGTCATAGCTTTCCAGGGCACTTTATTCACCATGTATTTATTGAGTGCCTATTGTGAGTCAGGCATATCCAAGGTGTTTGACTCCATGAACAAAGAAAACAGTGACCTTTACCTTCATGACACTTGTAGTTAGTAAACAATGAGCATGTGAACAAATAGTTTATATAATTTAATGTGTTAGTATATTGAAAAATAAGATTCTATATTTTCTGTCTTAAACTTTGGTGGACTGGGGCAACGTGGGGTGGGTGAGGCTGTACATGGGCTAGAGTGAATGGAGGTTGACTCTGCAAAGCCTTACCCCTGATGCTTCCAGATACCTGGTCACAAGCTGAGAGGTGGTGGCCGGACTGCCTTGGTCACCCTGGCCAGACAGGTGAAAAAGTTGAAGATCTTAAGTGGCCTCACAGCCACTCACAGAGAAGCTCGGATGCCTATAGATGTCAGTGCCAACATTTATCACCTCCTCAGCCAGTCACTTCTGAGGTTTCCAGGACCCCATTTCAGGCAACCTTCTTATCTTCACATTTTTAAAGCAAAAAATCACTTCCTGATTGCAAGTATAATGCAAACATTTTGCAAAAGTGTTAGGAAATACAGGAAGCAAAGGTAGACTAAAACCACACTCCATTTCATCACCTAGCGAGGACGGCTTTAACATTTCCAGTCATGTTTTCTGGTCTTATCTGTGGTGTTGGAACTTCCTGATCACTGATGCAGATACCATACCTGACTCCTCACCCCTGAGTATGTCATCACCACCAACCATTCCATTGAATTATCATAGCCTTGTGATAAGACTATAGTTGCTACTCAATAGCAGCCTTAAATTAGTATTAAAACATAATTTATTTTCTCAGTCTCATATTCAGGGTCTTTGTTTGGATGTTTTTGGCAACATAAATAACAATACAGTGAATATGTTTTTCTTGAATCATTACACACTTTCATAAATATTTTAGTACCCCAAAATGACATTTTTGAGTCAAAGAATATACGCTTTTGGTTTAATTTCTCTCCATAAATATTCCAAATATGCAAGCTCCTTTCATTAATATGTGAAAATATTTATTTAGAATATGCTTGCCAAGGCTTGGGCTTAATCAAAGAATGCTTTTTTGGCTATTGGTTAAAGATAATAATAGCATAATGGTCATAATAACAAATTCTAACACTGGATCTTCATTTTGCATTTATTTAAATACCAGTGAAGTTGAACACGTTCTCCATCTGAACACTGAATATCTGTTATGAATATTATTCACCTTGCTATTGATGACTTAGGGAAAAACTAAGTAGAAATAATGACTCCATCTCGGTTATCTCAGAGTCTGCCACTTGACAACTATGCCATTTTGGTACCGCGGACCCTCAGTTTCCTCTTCCGCATCCTAGGGGTAGCATGTTTCCACTCTGAGTCCACTATCAGGAAGTATTGATTCTCACTTACTTGGAATATAAGCACTCTGTACATGCGGCTTCCTGGCTGTGGTACCCTGGGCAGTTTCCTTAACTAATCTTTACTCATTTTTCTCATCTACAAAGTGGGGATAAAAATAACCCACGACAAGGGCTAATCTGAGGTTTAAATATTTTAGCATATCTAAATCAAAGAGAATTTGAGTCAATGCCTGGCTCATTGAGAAAATTTAATTCACCTTAACAGTTGTAATCTAAGGTGAATCTTTGAGGCCTCTTGAGAGGGAAGCCACTAAGGATTGATGGGATAGGTGGATGACAGAACCCAAGTGGACCAGAGCTGCAAGATCCCTAGAGACAGCACACTTCCCACCTGAATCTGGAAGATTGAGGACCAGAGCAGGAATGGAGCTCACCCAAGGTCACCCAGCATACCAGTGGCTGAGGCAGGACTAGATGGCAGTTCTGAGGTTAAATTTCAAAGATGCTACCCCTGTCTTACAACACGTCATTGGAGGTTATTCTCTGGGTTGGTAGAAATTTCTCAAGGACTAGAGCATATTTATATGGTTGAGGAGCATAGTCACTTTGTGGCCCATTACGCAAAGCCCAGCAGAGGGCAGGTCCTGTCCAGGGCAGGGCAGGAAATGTCATCTCTCAGGACAGGTCAGTATGTGAGCACCTCCTCTCCTTGGACCAGGTCAGCCTAAAGGTTCTGGGGAGGGGAATGGTGCCAAGTCCTTATCCTTTCGTACTTTTAGGAGACTTTACAGGGTCCCATGGTTCTCTGCAGGAACCACAGAGATCCTCTTACCCTTTCATATCAGCCTCTTTTCCGGGTTCAAGCTTCTCAGTGTAAGGCTGAGCCCTAGGTGACACGTTCAGAACCTGTCTTGTGGAATCTCAGGTGTTGTTTCTCCCTCTCAGGTGCTCCCAAGATGCTGTGGTGGGGCAGATACTCTCAGATCTGTTCACCAACAGAAAGAAAAGCATTCCCCTCAAGTTTTCTGAAGATTGTCTCTATCTAAATATTTACACTCCTGCTGATTTGATGAAGAGCAGAAGGCTGCCGATAAGTACAGGGACCACTGATCGAGATTTGTGCATTCCAGCCTCAGGATCTTCTGTACACCCAAAGGGAGATAAAGGCAGTTAGGGGCAGGATTGATTCGGAGATCCAGAGCTTTCTGAAAAAAATTTTAATCTATTATTTTTATTTTATGTGTATGAGTGTACTGTCTGCACTGTGTAAGTGCACCTGTGTCATACAATGCCCATGGAGGTCAGAAGAAGGCTTCGGATCCCCTGGAACTGGAGTTTTGGGCAGTTGTTAGCCTGGGAACCGAACCTTGGTCCTCTGCGAAAGTAGCCAGTGCTCTTAACTGCTGAACCATCTCCGTAGCCCCAGAGCTTTCTTTAATAGTTAGGGATCAGCTAAGATATAAGTTGCTGTAAGTTAAAGCTATAAAGAGACAGGAAAAAAGAAGCCTTTATTTTACAGATAAGAAAAAAGAAGCAAGCCCTTGTTCTGCATCGCTGGTGTTTCTAATCTTCAAATTCATGTCCTTGGCATGGACTAAGAGCTATGGGTGATGTTTCCTCAGAACACAGCTGTCATGTCAAAACCTTCACTGACCCATGGCTGAGATGTGTGGGCAGTCTTAGAAGCACTTTCTTTGTCATTAGTTGACCAAAGACAAATATTTGAGATTCAACTGTAGCTTGTTTACTTCCCTAGTTGCCTTTGGTAGAGGTTGTTGATGTGGTAAGTCAGCATTTTCCAAATAAATGAAGGGCCAGGGTTGGGGTTGACTGTTAGTTGGAGGCTACAAGGTAAAGGGGCTGCTGGCAGAGAGGATGACCTTTGAGGTAGAAGAAGTTGAGGTGTCAGGGCCCAGAAAATCTCCTAGGAATACACTGTCTTTTAGCCTAGGAGCCAGGGAGGAGATTGTGAACTTAAGATTATCGTTTGGTCTCCATGTGCCTTGGCAACAAGGAGATGGGAACAGAGATCACTAACTCACTCACTCAATCACTTTTTATTGTGTACTCGGGGTCCCCATGCACACAGTCAGACATGGGATCAGCAAAAAGAGGAATATGAGCCATTCTCATGCAGCTGTGCTTACAGATGTGGATGAGAGTTCAAAATGCTCCCACCAAAATTTCCAGGTTCTTGTTTCCTGAAACAAAAAATTGAACTAGAGAAAGATGGATAGTGATATTAATAGCAACACTTTATTAAAAAGAGAAAGGCACTCCTGAGAATGGAAAGTGTGCCAGAAAGCTGGGAGGGGTCTAAGGCTCAAGGGCCTTAGCCCAGAAGAATCTTGATTATAGCTTACTTACATATCATTTACACAATGCCGATTCTTACCAGTGTTTGGAGATTGCTGAACTCTTTTCCCCCACACATGCTGTTGTGTTACATGCATCCTGTTGTCTGAGGACTTTCCAGGTTTTCTTTGTCTTTTGTTTCTTTCCTATGTTGATCTTGATTTGTCCACAGCCTCCTTCCACACACTATTCTCCTAGCTCCACTTTCCCCCCGAGAACTGTGATTCCATTCTTTGTGGAGAACCAAATGATGATCTGACTTCTAGAACTTCTTCTATGCTGCAGAGGGTATAGTTCCTGCCTAAGAGGGACCGTGAAACCTCTCCCCACTTTATTGGTTGGAAAGGAGGCTTGGGATTCCCTGTAGCAGGAGTTGTCTGGAATCCCTGTTAGTTTGAAATTGTCATACCTAAGAAGGCACAATTTTTTCATGCCTAAAAAAATATAAGCTCTAAGTAAAAGTAATATGATTACACCAACCAATGGCTCCAGAGAGGATAAGATCCAGAAAAATCATGGCCATGAGTGCCCCAGGAGCATCATTCAAATGCAGTTTGCTCTTGGACTGTGAACAAAATAACTAAAACACACTGATAGTTATATATTGAGACTGTGATACGATGCAAAAGAAAAATTTAAGGAATCCAATGGTCGAAGAGATTCAAGGGAAGATAGTATGAGGTTGTAACCATTGAGTACTAACAGAATTTAAATCAAAACAATGAAGAAAAGTGAAGCATGAAATTACATTTTCAGAATGAAGAGCCCTGAGAAGAAGTAACACTGTGAGTGGGGAGAAAGTTATTTCTAAGTGCTTAGAGCTCAGTTCTTGGTGGCTAGCTCATGTTTGATGTTTTTCTCTATTAGCAATGTTATTACAACATTATTTTAAATGCTCTCAATTTTTCTCTGCAATATTATACCCAGAAAGCCCAGAAAGATGAATTAGAAACTGTATCCTCTTACCCCCTTAATTCCTATCACAGTCCTTGTCCCTGGCAGGTAATAATCAGTTACTGATGACTTCCTGGAGGAGGTGGATATAAGCTTAGAAGGGTGGGAAGGGCACACAGGGGAAGCACAGTAGGAAGGGGCATTCTTGGAGCAAGTCAAGATAATCACTCATGCATAAGAAGGTTGAGTTCATCACTGAAGAGTTGACTGAAATGAAACATAAATTGACCTGGATGAGGAGTTCAGTAATGAGGGTGGTGGAGTCTTGGGGAGAGCAGCTCATCCTTGTTCCTTCCTGTGCCTGTGATGAAGTTCTCAATTTGAAGAGCATTAGAGGGCATGGCACTCAGGGTATGAGTAAAAGGCAGATATTTCCAGAGGACACAAAATGGTGGACTGGGCACTGCGAGAAGAGTTGGGAGGAAATGCATTTTCCATTCTTGCTGGGCACTGATAGACTTAGACTTTGGGAGCTGATCTTCAGTCAGGGTCAGGAAAAGGTAACCAAATCAAAAAACTTTCAATGTCCTTCCCAACTCTTCTTCCTGTGATGGCCAGTATAGTTGTGTCCTGCAGGTGATGGTGTGGATCCGTGGAGGGTCTCTTGTGGTGGGCGAGGCATCAACCTATGATGGCCTGGCCCTCTCTGCCCATGAAAACGTGGTGGTGATGGCTATCCAGTATCGCCTGGGCATCTTGGGATTCTTCAGGTAGGGCTTTGGACTCTGCATATTAGCTTCTGCAGTAACCTGTAGTATATGGATCGTGTGAAATAACAGGTTGATTTGGCTCTCTGTTTTGGAGGATCAAAGTTCATGATCAAGTGTCCTCAAGGTTGGCATTTGGTGTGGCCCTTTATCAGCATTACAGTATAGTGCATGAACAAAATAGAAACCGAAGCCTACAGAGCCATCTCATGCCAATAGAGAAAACCAGAGAGGAGAATTGTTCTTTCTGTAAGAGCTTTCTAGGGCTGGAGACACGGCTCAGTGGTAAAGAGCACTGACTTGCAGAGGACCCAGGTTCAGTTCTCAGCACCCACATGGTGGCTAACAACCAACTGTAGCTCTAGTCCCAGGGGATCCAATGCCCTCTTCTGACTTTTGCAGGCATTGCACAATACAGGTGCACTTATATACATGTAGACAGTACTCTCATAGACATGAAATAAAAATAATAAAAATTTAATAAAGAACTTTGGCTTGGGAACTAACCAGTTTCCTATACTACATAGATATCTTCCAAGTGTAGACCTGGTTACCTAATCACTTTCCACTGAGTCTTACCTTTTGCAGATTCCCTCACTGCATATTCCTGCTACGTTGGGAGCCAATGTTCCAGTACATAAACCCTGGTAGCACGAACCATGTCCAAATCTTTAAAGCTACCGGATCAGTGATGTCAGAACCCAGCTCTAATGACGTCATCTCTCATGGGTTCCTTTGCTAAGCTCCTTCATAATGTATCTTGTACCTTCATTGTTAGACTTCTCTTACCTGCTTATTCCCCAGCAATGACTGTCCACTTGCTTCTGAAGTTTTATATAGTTTCTTCTGCCCAGATGCCTACTGTCCTTGTAAAACTCCTATTTATTCTTTATGGCCCAGTCTTCATGTTGTCATTCCCAAAATGTTCGTCTCTTTTTACCTGTGCTACCCGGCATACTGCACTCCCCTATGATGGCAGGCACCGTGCAGCACAGTAGTTGAATGTTATACATCTTTGCACAGGAAAGGAAAGAAGAGATTAACTCATGCAAGGAACTTAGTGAGTGCTTCTGCAGGCAAGCTATCATCTGGCCATGCCACCCAGGCTGTCCTTAGGCTGACGGTGACCCGCACAAGTACTCATCTTAACCTCATGTGCCTCTCTTCCCCAACCGTGAACAGCCACTCCTGCCTCTCTCAGATGCTTCCTTCTCTTCCTTGGCCGTTCCTTCTCAGCTCCTCTGTGCCCCTTCCCCTCCCTGTCTTGGGCTCTGTGTGTCTCGCCCTCTCCACTAATGTCCCGAGTGATCAGAGCAGCACTCTCACAGCTCCCTATTTGTTGACAGCTCCGTGTCTGTAGCTCCCACCACTCCTTCGAGCCCCAGGTATTCTTTAGCCACCTCCCCTGGTTTCCCCTGGATATCTACAGGATACCTTTACAGAGGCACACTGAGACCTTAACGCCAACTCCCCCCGCAGAAAGAATCCTCTCCTTGCCCCCCTCATGATCTCTTGCACAGTTTTTGGAAGATCCATTTTCTTTGTTTCTCAGGACAGAGGTCTCATTGAAAGCCCGGATTCCTCTTTTTCTCCCATCCTACATTCAGTTAGAGAGCAAATTCTCTTGGATTATTTTGAAATATACCCAGTATCTAGCTTTTTGGATCTATTCTTTCTGTTTATGAACAATCAAAGCCCTATGTATCCACCTTGTATAATCATTAAAAACCATTTACTATTGTAATCATTCACTATTTTAATACCATGGCTGGATTGCACAGATGTCAGAGTGTTATGGGAGACAAGTTGAGTTACATTGACAGTGCAGAGCATTCCCATCAAGGCTCACAGCACCTGCTCTGCCTGCATCTCCATACATATGAGCTCCGTGCATAGTTTTGTTCCCATGGCATTGGGGCCTTTGAACCTAACTACAGTTCTTCCTTTGACTATTTCCAAGACAGATATGCTTATTTTATTTGGGTCTCTATTATGACTCTGCCTCAAAGGGTCCCTCCCTGCCATGGAATCTGAAATTCCACCCTATACCTACTCATCTTTTTCTTCGCCAATTTTTATTTTCCCACTAGATGACATTGTATTCTCTTTTCATCTGTTTGATTCTGGTTTGAAGTTTGAACTGAGTATAGTCAGAAATATTGTGTTTTGTTCCCAGAAGTTCTCTAGGTGTTAGACATTGGTTGGATTCACAAATCAGCACATAGTTTCTAGAACTGGATTGTAAAAACCCCATATAGAACAATACTATGAGGATGAGGGGATGGGTGAAGATTCCTGGGTCAGGGATGTAAAGCCCTATTCCAAAATGCTCACTGAGAGCTCCTTCCCAATATGTGGTCCCTAGAGCATGCAATGATATTTTTGTCCATATCTGTACCCTGTTGTCTTACAGCACAGAAGATGAACACAGCCTGGGAAACTGGGGTCACCTGGACCAGATAGCTGCTCTGCACTGGGTCCAGGACAACATTGCCAACTTTGGAGGGGACCCAGGCTCTGTGACTCTTTGGAGAGTCAGCTGGAGGAGAAAGTGTCTCTGTTCTTGTAAGTGTTCCTGATACTAGGCCCCATGTCCAAGCTTGATGTTGGTGCTGATGGGACCTCATGGAGATCAGCCAGCCAGGCCATGGAAACTTTGCTTTCAGAGTTCACTCTCTCTATTGCACAGTTTCAGAAAATGTTGAGCTAAGGACTAAACTTTCCCCCAGGAAGCTCAGAACTCAGATTTTTTTCAGTTTTAAAAATATTTTATTTATTGTTTTTATTTTATGTGTATGAGTGTTTTGCTTGCATGTAGGTAAGCGCACCACATGTGTGCAATGCCCCGCAGAGGCCAGAAGAGGGTGTTGAATCCTCTCGAACTAGAGTTACAGACAGTTGTTAGTAGGTGCTAGGAATCAAACTTGGCTCCTCTGGAAGAACAGCCAATGCTCTTAACTGCTGACCCATCTCTCTAGTCCCACAGAACTCAGCTTTATGTATTGAAGTCATAACAACATTCAGTTCTGCCTGGAAGAGTGACATGCCTATATTTCACTTAGTTAAATTCTTTTTCCATTTGCCAATCATTTTAACATTAGGACTCACCTGACTATTCTTTTTTAAATCCAGTCTCTAAACATTGAAACCTTGGATTATTTAGAAACTTCCTCCTTATAAACAGCACGAACAGTCTTAGATATATTTTTTTCCACCTCCATTATCATATTTGTTTTCTTTTCATTGTTTTGATCAAATCAAGCAATCCATGGATACCTCTGAGCTACAACCTTTTCTTTGCTCTTCTTTGGGGGGATGTTCGAGATAATTCCATATGGTCATTTTCAAGTAGTATAAGTACTGGAATGGGATTTGGATTTAGACATTGCTAAATCCTTTTTCCAATAGTTTTGATTATCATGATTAGGCATTTGACACACACTTCCTTTTCTGTTTCTTTCTCTGAACTCGGATTCTACCCCAGTGAGGTTCTCTGAGGGTATTAGGGTCCACAGGGAGCCTGGGATTCATTGTTGGACAGATAAAGAAAAGTCATATCCACAGAGCACCAGTGTCCGCAGATGAATGAATGACTAGTAGAGGTGGAGGGAGACTTACAGGACAAGTGAGTCACTGACCCCTTCTGTGCATAACCCTCCTCCTCTTCCTCCTCTCCCCTGCCAGGTGTTGTCTCCTCTGGCCAAGAACATTTTCCACAGGGCCATTTCTGAGAGTGGTGTGGCCCTCACTCCTGGTATGGTCAGGAAACATGTCAGGCCTGTAGCTGAGGTAAGTCCTATCTTGGACAGCTTCCATGCCGTTTCCTCTGTTCTTCTGGGGTCCTTGGAAGTCTTCCTTCCTAAGGGATTCAGCTAAGATGCTCAAGAGCACCTAGTTGTGAGAATGACTGAGGAGACGTCTGCTAGGACCCCATCCCAATCATATTCTGTAAGTTCTGGACTGTCTTCATGTAAACTGTGTGATCCAGGCTTCCTATAATTCTGCATAGGTTTTGGTGTATGGAGATATGAAATTGTCCTTCACCCATCACATGTATTAGCTCTCTTTAGATAAAAGGTATAATCATCACCCTCATCTATAGGTGGAAAAACTGAAGGTAAATGGCCAGAAAGTGGAGGAGGCAAATCTGAACCAGATAGTGGAATTCCAGATTCCTCGTTCTTTACCCCACTGTGCACAGCCTAAGATAGTCCACTTTGATAATGTTGTGCTCACTTTAAGAGTACCAAGGACACAGACATACAGAGTTAATGTCACAGTTCCAATTAGTAATAGATACAAAATTCTGTTGTGTACACACCTATTAGACTAGAGCGTTTTCAACTACTACCTACCTTCTTCAGAATTGAGGATATTGAACACCCCTGTCTGTACTGATGGAGGGAAGGCACATTGATTTTTACTTCTACTGTTACTTCTGATTTTGTGCAGCAAGTTGCTATTACTGCTGGGTGTAAAACCACCACCTCAGCTGCCATGGTTTACTGCCTCCGCCAGAAGACAGAGGATGAAGTCTTGGAGACTACATTGAAATTGGTATGTATTTCCTAATGGCCTCGGGCCTGCAGAGTTGGCCTGAGGATTTCTCAATTTTGTTCTACCCTGCTTTAGATGATCTGCCTAGGAAAGTTTCTCATCTCTTAGAAGCACTGCCAACCTCTTGATCCAAACTGGGAATTGCATTTCTTCATTTTTAATGTTAAAAAGTCCAAAAATACTATGATGAAAATTGTGATAGGTCTGAGGATGTGTAGCATGTACATGGTCCTAGGTCCAATACTCAGCATTGTAGACAAAAATACCACAACTGTATAATAATGTACAATTATCTTAAAACCTGATAATTGTCATTCAATTAATATTTTATATGCATTTTAAGAATTAAACATTTCATATTCCATGAATAATTACTATGATAAATTTTAAGATGGGCAATATTAAACACATTTTTTAAAGAACGGTGCCAGAATTTATCTTGGATGCTCAAATTTTTTCTAATAATATAGTAGTAGTCCAATTATCTAGATTTTTCGAGATTTTGCCCTAATTATGATTCAAGAATAGCCACCTTTTTACCAATTTGTTCCGTCCATCCATCCATCCATCCATCCCAACTGTGTGCAGGCACGGTAAAACAAGGGTCCATACAGACATAAATTGAACAGTATCTCTGCTGACAAGAGACTATCTAGGTAGAAAAATGACCCTGTGATTAGTTGATTACATGAAGGGGGTATATAGACAGGGCAAGTGATCGTTATAGTCAACAGATATTCTTCCCAGGGAAGATGATGTTTGAGGATCAACTGATGGTCTTGGCAGTCTATCATTACAGAGAAGCATTGGGAATGATTCCCATTATGACAGACGATATGAAGTGAGCTTGACCTGTCTGCACCTTGGATATTGAAGGGTACCTGCGGATACCTTGGATAGCCCTCTAACATTGTGGCACGCCTGCATATTCATGAGTTGAGTTCATTGTACCTTTAAGTCATGGGTCTTGGTTTATCAACCTTAGATAAGGTAATTAAGGGATTTGAAAATGGAGATATTGCTGTCTTTTACTATCTAAGAAAGGGAAAATATTTCAGGCATTCTCAGTGTGGCTCAGAACCTGGATTACATGAGAAGAGTTGGTGACTTTGGGAAACCCAGAGAAACTAAGACTAGGACATCCTTGTGATGTTTTCCATCCTGTGGAGATACTTCCATGACTGTCCACTGTCCCCAGTAGGCTTGTGGAGCTGCAATCCACAATGGACAGATCCTAGTGGTTGATTCCCATGAATAGGCCAGATCTGACAGGGTAAACATTGTAATCACTGCAATCTCGACAAACACATTAAAGAAAATCATGGTTTGGAATGAATGTCAGACTGTTTGAGTGAGGGTTTTCTAATGCAAGAGAACACTCACTTAAGAGGACTTGAACAGAAAAAAGAAGGAGTAATGGGATCATCAGGTAATTAATGTGTTGAGAAGTGGGTAGGCACAGACACTGAAGATAATACTGATCATCTATAGCTCAGCTTTTTATTCTTGTTTGTTGACTTCTCCCTGAAGCACATTTGTCCCTGGAGAGGTTAAAGACAGCACTGTACACTCATATCCTATTTTCTTAGAAACTATCTAGTACCAGTATTTGAGAGATAGCTTTGACTAATGCTGGCATGTATCAATCTTTGGACCATTTTCTATGTTTAGAGACATGGTGACCCAGATCTCACATAGATGCCCAAGCTTATGAAGTGAGAGCGGGGAAGGGTGGACAAAGGACAAGTCTACTCTGTTCTGATGCTTCATCTCACTTTCTGCCTTATCTCCCCTCAAGACTACCACATCCCTGTCCTCAAAATTACTTTGTTTCCACTTTTTTCCTTAGGGAAAATTGGGATATTGTTACCAGAGGGAACAAGTAGGTGGAACAGCATAGGCTTAGGCAGCAGACATGTTCAAAGCTCCAGCAACCCCAGCTCTGAGTCGGAGGATCTGACCCCTTGCTACCCTATACTTCCCTATCCCACTCTATCCTGTACCCATGCCAAAGGACTCTGTATAAGGTTCTCTTACTCTGGGCCTAGCAGGGAGAAGTCAGCAGGGAGAACCTTGGGGACATAGGTCAAAGGATCAGCTTTTAGACATGGAGGACTTCTAACTGCAATCTCTATATTTATCTTCACAGAAACATTTTCAGATCAATTTATTTCGACACCACAGAGAGGTACGAACCTTTGCTTCCTGTATTATAGGTTTTGGGTCTTATTAGTATTAATCTTTATATCCTAGTTTGTTTCTCACAGCTGTGACAAAACACTCTGACCAATACCAACTTGGGGAGGAAAGGGTTTATTCGGCTTACATTGCCTGGGTCACGGTTCATCACTGAGGGAGCCCAAGGAAGGAACTCAGGGTAGGAACCTGGAGGCAGGAGCTGGAGCATGGGCCATGGAGGAACGCTGCTTACTGGCTTGCTCCCTTGGCCTGTGCTCAACCTGCTTTCTTATACAATACAGGACCGCTTGCCCAGGGGTGGTACCACCCACAGTGGGTTGGGGCCTCCCGTATCACTCAATAATCAAGAAGATGCCCCATGGACATGACCACAGGCCAGTTCAATGGAGGCAACTCACCAATTGAGGCTCCCTCTACCCAGTGTGTCAAGTTGACAGTTAAAGCTACCCAGCACACAATTAACTAAACTGTGAATAAAGACTCTTCCTTTGTGGAATCACATCATTTCTTGTGTGTATACTGCTGATGCCCCAAGAGGGGAAGTCAGTTGCCAGGGTAACAGAGGCAGGAGGACCTGAGGCAAGATGGCCTGACTTCCTATCCGGTGCTCCCAGCCATCAACTCTGTGTCCTCTGCTCAACTTCACATTCTTATATACTCCCTGCTCCCAAACAACCCCGCAGGATGGGGCTACACCAGGACCTTCCACTGTCAGGAGGCCAAGATACCAGGCTAAGTGTCTTAGGAGTCTCCATGGAAGAGCACAGATCTTCTAGGAGCTGGTGATCTGTGTAGAGAGAAGCCTGAGATCTCAGTCCTAAGGACATCAGCCTCCTCCCAGGATCTAGGAAACTCAAGCAGAACCTTCCAGCTTGTCTTTCCTGTCTTCCCACCTCTTAGCAATGACCCAGGCCTTGTGACAACGGCTGTGTAGTAGTACAGACCTGTTCTCTCTCACCCTTCTTGTGAGATCCCAGAACTTCTCTTAAAGATCTTCTGAAGACGAAATGAAATTGTTTTCAACCATTCAGAAAAGTTTGAATCAGAATTCACTGAGTGGCAGTACCTGATTCTGCAGTTAGAATATGACCGTGATTCCTGGGAACCTTGCATTTCAGTGTTGGGGTCTGTGTACGAAAACGTGTATGTCAGACTTAAGGTAAAAAAGAAATTGGCAGACATGAGAAAGTTGGCCAGTGGTTTGACGGGAAGAGGCCCTAGGGCCAGAGTGTAGCTTGATGAGCTGGTGGTATCTGAGTAAAGTTATGGATGCCAGCCAGAGGGTGTCAGCTGTATACACAAAAGGAATGACATGATTCCACAAAGGAAACCTGCAGAAAGAGTGTTCCTTACAAAGGGAAGAGCAGCTACAAAGCCTCCTGCTGGACGTCAGTGTGTGTGGAAAGAAACAGTGAGGGAGGAGGAGGCTTATGGCTTCAGAAACAGTAGAGGTGGGAATGGAGTGGGTCACCGAAAGGCTTGGATTGTTATGCAACATAGTACAGGAGGTGTGCAGAGGGTTTTCAGTGGAGCAGTTACATCATCTTGGGTTCTGTTAAGTTCACATTGACAGCAATATGGAAATAGTGGAGAGGAAAGGGGTAGACTAGGTACTGAGGGACCCAGTGGGAGGATTATGAGCTGCAATAATTCAGGTGTAGGATCCCTATTTACTATTCCAAATAATAAATATTATAAATAAACCCATCTAAATAAAAACTACCCGTAAAATAAAAACAATCTATAGAAATAAACCCAAATAAAAAAATAAATAAACCCAAGCAGGAGGGTGGTAAGAATTGGTTGGGATTTTGATGATTTTTAAAAACAATTGTTTTATTTTTATTTTTAAATGAAAAATTTCAAATTTCATGTAATATATTTCTATCATATTTAGAACCCTCTAATCTATCCCCATACTATTTCCCACCTGGCTTAATGTACTCTATCACACACATATATCACACACACACATATGCCTATAGAGTCAAATTTCTGTCCCCAAATGCCCTTTGGTGTATTTCTATCCACTGGAACCTAGTGAACCTACCTAGTGTCATGCCTTTAAAGAAAACTGATTCTCCCTCTCCCAGAAGCCATCAGTTGCCAATAGTCCATCAACTAGGGTTGGAACTTCTTCCTCACCTCCCTACTTTTTTTTTTTTTTTTTTTTTTTGAGACAGGGTCTCCCTGTAGCCCCAGCTGTCCTGGAATGCACTATGTAGACCAGGCTGGCCTTGAACTCACAGAGATCCACTTGCCTCTGCCTCCCCAGTGCTGGGATTAAAGGCGTGTGCCACCACATGTTGGGATTTTTGTCGGCTTGAATTTATGTGGGAGTTGTGTTTGCTGTTACCATTCCTCTGAGTTCATATAAATAATGGCCCAGCTGTCTGGAAAACCCCATTTTCCTATGGTCATATACCAGCTCTGGCTCTTACAGTATTTCTAATCTCACTTCTGCAATGATTCCCAAACCTTTGGAGGCAGAGACTGATACCAGTGTCCAATTCAGGTATAAGCACTCTGCGGCCTTTTGTTCTTTGCATGTTGGTCAGCTGTGGGTCTCTATTAATCACCATCTGCTGCAGAAAGGAAGCTTCTCTGGTGAGAACTGAGAAATGCATTAATCTATGAGTTTAACAATAAGTCGTTATAATTCAGTTAAACATTCAGCCCATTTGGCAGAATAATATTAACAGATTTCCCCTATGACTTGTGACATGTCTAGCCACAGGTTCCTAGATCTGATATCAGTGTCAGATATGGATTCCATCTTGTGAAGCAGACCTTAAATCCAATTGGAAAGTGGTTGGTTTCTTCTATAACATTCATACCATGATTGCACCAGTGGGTTTATTTTGCCAGGCCTGTTGTAGTTTGCAGGATTAACAGCTGGGCAAGGTTCATGATTACTTTTCTTTTCTGGTAGAATCTGTAGCACCTTCTCACACTATGAAAACTAGCCAGTAGAGATGAAGCTTTGAGGTCAGTATCAGCTTGATTTTTCCTTGTTTGTTCTATATTTCATGTATATTAATATCTTTAGCAGTAGGTTCTTACTGTCAAGTTTTGGTGGGTAACCAAGAACAGGGACAGTGGCCAGTACTGTTTAAGGGTCTCTTGGAAGCCCTGATCAACAGCTTTAAAAGACAGAGTTTACTCCTGGAATTGGGCTTTTTGTTTGCTAGCTTATGGTATCTGGTGAGGCAATGTTCCCTTGTTATAGAATAACTCATTTTAATCTCTTTAAAATTTATTTATTATTATTTTTGTTATATTTTTATTTTGTGTATATGAGTGTATGTAAGTGTACCTGCGTTGTGAAATGCCTGCAGAGGTCAGAAGAGGTGCTGAATTCCCTGGATCTGGAGTTATGGATGGTTTTTAACTGCCATGTGGGTGCTGGGAACTGAACCCAGGTCCTCTGGAAGAGCAGCCGGTGCTTTTAACTGCTGAGCCATCTCTCCAGACCATTGATCTCTTTTTATATTGTACATGTATATATTTTAAGACACTTCTATACTGGTAAATTTTCAAATGGCTTTTTGTAAAGGCCTTTAGTGTTAATTAACCCTCCCCACACTCCCTTCTCTGCCCTGCCCTCCGAATCCCCACTCTTTAACTCGTCCTTACTGTCCTAACCTATTGTTCCCCTTTTTAAAATTTATTATTTTTATTTTATGTGTATGCGTGTATTGCCTGCCTGTAGGTAAGTGCACCTGTGTCTTGCAATGCCCATGGAGGTCAGAAGAGGCTGTCGGAGCCCCTGGGACTGGAGTTACAGACAGTTGTTAGCTGCCATGTGGGTGCTGGGATTCGAACCTGGGTCTTCTGCAAGAACAACCAGTGTTCTTAACCGCTGAGCCATCTCTCCAGCCCCTTGTTCCCCTTTTTAACTTTGTATCACTACATTCTATCTCCCCTTCCACAAATCCTCACCACCCCCACAAATCCTCACCCCACCCCATGGCTGTTTACTAGTTTCCTGACCTCTATGGATTTTCCAATTGAAATGCACTTATCTAAAGATTCATAGCTAGCATTCACTTGTAAGAGAGAATATGCAACATTTTTCTTTTTGTGTCTGAGTTATTTCACTCAGGGAGATTGTTTTCAGTTCCATCCATTTATCTGTGAATTTCATGATTTCAGTTTTTAAACAGCTGAATAATATTCCATTGTGAAAATGTACCACACTTTCATTATCCTTCAGTTGATGGACGTTTAGATTGTTTTCATTCATTCCCTGGCTATTGCGAATACAGCAGCAATATATGTGGATGAACAAGTATCTGCAGGAGGATATAGTCTTGGATGTGTGCAAGGATGGTACGGCTCAATCAAGTAGTAGATCTGTTTCTAGCTTTCTGAGGAATCTCCACCCTTATTTCCATAGTGGCTGCACCAGTTTGCACTCCCACAAGCAGTGAATAAATGTTTGTCTTTCCCCACATCCTTGCCAGCATTTGTGATCTATTTTTTTTTTTTTTTTGGATTGTAGCCATTCTTCCTGGGATATGAAGAAATCCCAAAGTGGTTTTAATTCGCATTTCCCTCATGGCTAAAGATGTTGAACACTTTAAAAAGTGTTTCTCAGCCATTTGTGCTTCATTTTTAGAGAATTCCTCATTTGTTCCTCGCCCAATTTTTAATTAGTTTGCTTGTGTTTTTTTTAATGTTTAATTTTTGGAGTTATTTGTATATTCTAGATACTAGCCCTCTGTCAGAGGTATAGTTCATAAAGATATTTTTTCCCATTCTGTAAGATTGCCTTTTCACTAGAATACTGGCATTCTTTGAAATATAAAAGTGTTCTAGTTTCACGAGATCCTGTTTGTTAATTGTTGGTCTTAATGCCTGCAGTATCAGGGTCCTGTTCAGAAAGTCCTTTCCTGTGCCTATAAATTCCAATGCATTCCCCATTTTTTCCTCTATTAGATTCAAGGTATCAGGTCTTATGCTGAGATCCTTGATTCATTTGGAGTTTTGTGCATAATGAGAGATAGGACTCTAGTTCCATGTGTTTGTAGCTATTTGGTTTGACCAGCATTTGTTGAAAATGCTGTCTTTTTTTCCCCAAGGTGTGTTTTTGGTCTCTTTGTTAAAAATCAAGTGACTGTAAGTGCATGGACTTATATCTGGATCCTCAATTCTATTCCATTGACCGATATGTCTGTTTTTATGCCAGCCAGCACCATGCTGTTTTTATTACTATAGATCTATAGTATAATTTGACACCCCCCAATATAACCCTAGGATGACTAAAACAACCCTGATAAATAAAAGAAATGCTGGTGGGTTCTTGAAATTTTTGAAGGAATAACTGACATGTTTTGCTGATGAATACAGTATGAGGTATGAGCAAAAGGAGTTACAGGCTACCCCTGACCTTTCTAATGCAAACAGGCTATGCATGTGGCCTCACAGTATACCCAGAGCATCCCTGGGTGCACAGTGATGGTCTCTGTGGCATTCATGTTTGCTGACGTCAGTTTTCTCTCCTAGAATCTTCCCCAAGAGCCCTTCCTATCCCTTTCTAGGACTTTGTAAAAACTTCTCCCTCTACTTTCTGCTTTCCTGTTCCTTTTATGTAGCACATCATGGTGAGAGCTTGTGGAGGAGCAAAACTAATCACCCTATGGCCTAAAAGTGAAAAAAGAAAGGAATTGGGCACCAATATTTTCTTCAAGAGTGTACCCCAATCACCCGAAGCCTTGACACTGAGCTCCAGATCTTTAAAAATATTTTATTATTTTTATTTTATGTGTATGAGTGTACTGTTTGCATGTATATAAGCGTACCCAAGTCATGCAATACCTGTGAGATCAGAAGAGGGTGTCAGATCCCCTGGGACTGAAGTTATGGATGGTTGTTATCTTCTATGCCATTTCTGAGAATTGAACCTGGGTTCTCTGCAAAAGCAGTCAGTGCTCTTAACTGCTGAGCCATCTCTCCCGCTCGTGAGCTCTGTATTTTAAAGTTCTCCCCAACGCCATGCTAGCTTCCAGCATGAGCTGGAGACCACGGCTCCAACACACTGATCTTTGGGGGCATGTAAGATCTAACCTCTAGTACTTCCAGTGAGAATTCTTCAAAACAGCCTTGAGGGTCAGGCTGTGATAGATTCTGTGCAGAAAATGGGCCAGGGATTAGTTCTGCATACTGACACCTCTGTCCTTTCTTATGCCATTCCCATTGTCAATAGCATTCATCCTCAAGCTCACTGCAGATAGCAAGAACCTACCTGTGTGGCCGTGTGCATCTTCCTTCAGATGAGCTGCTCCTGTTGCTCGACTAGCTCTGACTGCACCGCTTTTCTATGGCAGGAGTAGTTAGACTTGAGATTTCTTCTTTATTGTCAGCCTATTGGAGTAGGCCACTTTAAAAAACCTTTAACTTATCTTAAATAGTTAATAAACTTTTCAGTTCAGGCACCTTGAGTGATGAGCTCAATATTTCTGAAAGCCAATCACATATGCCAAAGTGCTCAGATCTAGATATAGAAAGGCAGACGCAGTCTACCTTCAATCATGGATTCTGTATTTATGAATTCATTTGTTAAAATGGACATATAAACCTAAACTGATACTTGTGAGACATGTCGTCTTTCACGCCACATGTACAGAACAGCAAGAAATTTGAGTCACATGATGTTCAGGTTCCCATCTGAAGTCAAAAAGGAAACACTCTGTGTCCTTGCTTCCTCTCTTGTAGTCACTAAATGTCCTCTTCATGGTCTATCAAATGCTGAACTTTTATTTTGCCATGTTTTCTGTTTAAATTATTTCTCTGGATTGGCTCTTAAGTGTGGTAATGAAGGACCATCTGACATTCCCAACCAGAGGAGGCTGGGAGGTGCTGTACAGAAAGAATGCATGTGACAGACGAGCTTCCTTCAGGCTTTTGTTGTGATGCCTTGGCTGTGAAGTCAGTGTTAATGAGTCAACAGCATGGTACATCCAAAGAGGGAGAGGAGGATTCTCAGTTTGTCCAGCTGTGGGAGAGGCAATTTTGGAAAGGGAACTGCTGTGTCTATAGTGTATGATAAAGCTAAGGAAAAGATAAAAAGGAACTGAATTTATGGATTCATAAGATGACTAATTTTTCTCTTTTCCTCTCCCCTTCTCTTCTCTTCTCTCTCTCTCTCTCTCCCTCCCTCTCTCTCTCTCCCTCTCTCTCAATAGGGGTTCAGTCTACAGCCTAGCCTGGCCTGGAACTCATCATGTATCTCAGACTGACTTCACACTCACAGCAATTCTCTTGTCTCAGCACTCCTACCAGTGTTAGAATTGTAGGCATGAGCCACTACACTCTGTTCACAATGATGAACTTTTAAAATATTTTATGTTATTTTTATTTTATGTGTATGAGTGTATTGCCTGCATGTATGCAAGTGCGCCTGTGTCATGCAGTGCCCATGGATGTCAGAAGATGCTGTCAGATCCCCTGGAACTGGCAGTTGTTAGCTGCCATAAGGGTGCTGGGAGTCAAACCCAGGTCCTCTGCAAGAGCAGTCAGTGCTCTTAGCACTGAGTCATCTCTCCAGTCCCTCAGAATGATGATTTAAAAACTATTTTATTTATGATTTTTATTTTATGTGTATAAGTGTATTGCCGGAATATATGTAAGTGCACCTGTGTCATGCAATGGCAGCAGAAATTCCCCTGGAGCTGGAGGTAAGGACAGTTGTTACTCACCATGTGGGTCAAACCTGGGTCCTCTGTAAGAACAGCCAGTGCTCTGAACCACCGAGCCATCAGTCCAGCCCCACAATGATGAATTTTTTAAAAGCACAGTGGAGAGCATGGTTGTAAGACTGAAGTAAAAAAAATTACAGTTATGTTACTCAGGTCAAGAAGTATGAAGCCTTTCTAGCTATCCTACTATTATAAACACATATAACTAATTATCTATAACAAACCTATATCACATAACATGTCGATAAACAGGCATCCATACACAAATGAGTGAAAAATGTTTTGATCAAGAACTAACTCTAGATAGAATTCTCCTTGAAGCAAATTCTGCATCCTCTGCAACTTTAAAGACATAACTCCCATGGAGAGTAAGAAATTATCTATGGGACCTGTGACTCCACACCACTTGAAATTGGAGTATAATTATTCATATATGAGGTGTATTTTAATTTTCATGAAGATGCCCTGCTCATTTCTCTATGTTATCACTATTAACTTTCCCATCAAAGTTCTGCCCTTGTGTCTCACAGAGTTAGGACAGTTGGTAGGACCTTAAGTTTCTGTGGCCATTGCCCATAGTCATGGGAATCTTATGGTGCTGGGCTTGTAACCGTAAAGGCTGGGTGGGCATGAGTGTTTTCTGGGAAGAAGTAATCGCAGACATTACATTGCCCTATTTCCTAGAACTGTCCCTTCCTGCCTACTGTAGTCGATGGAGTGGTACTTCTAAAGGCCCCAGAAGAAATTCTGGCTGAGAAGAATTTCAATACTGTCTCCTACATGGTGGGGATCAACAAGCAAGAGTTTGGCTGGCTCCTTCCACTGGTAAGAACATACAGACCTCAGACAGAAACACATCACCCTATATCAGCCCAGGAGTTCTTTCTTCTCCACCTTGTTCCCTGTCCAGGGAAACGGCCCCTGTTGTCCTGAGTATATAGTTCCATGAAAAATTTCTCCAGAATGGTTCAAATGCCTCCTGGATAATAATCCCTGGGAACCCTTGTCATCCTACTCACAAACATTCTGTCTTTCCATTAAAGAATCTCAAGATGTTTCTTTTAAAGGACCTTCTCATTAACATTTTATGATAGAATGCATGGAATCTGGTGGGGGGTATAGGGGGTGTGGTATAAAGATGATTAAGATGTTTTGTATTTAATGCACAGAAATTCAATAAAAATATACAAAAAAAAAAAGAGTCTTCTCTTTAAAGAATCCCAGAATGTTCAGGTTGTGACTTGCTCAGAAAGACGACCAGAGAGGGAGACAAGCTGGAGGTTCACAAGAGTCAGGCCTGGGGCATAACAACTTCTACTTTGTATGTAGAGTCTTAGGTGCCATAGATCTCCACATCTGATCTCAGGCACCTCACTTGAAAGACATCAGAGAAATCGGGCAGTATTTAAAACAATAAAATAGGTTTTATGAAGCAATATGACTTCAGTAGGCAAAATATTACCTGCAGGAGAACTGTCACCTCTTTATAACAGGAATCAGAGTTATGAAGCAAGGACCTCGATGAAGTTAAGCATTCTTCTATAGAGACCAGTAGTGTCATCAAGTGTTATCTCTTCAAATACTTACTTTTCAAAGAGGTTTCAAACCATTTTTACAAGTTTTCTCCCAGGTCCTCGAGGAAATGATTTTCAGGTAGAAGATTTACATCTCAGGGGGCAGAGGAGTGATTGCTAATTGCAAGCTTTTCACAGTATCAACACCTGAAAGCATCAAGCTTTCTCAGGCGGGCAGTGTGGGGTTGTGGTTACCCTAAGATGCACCTGAGATGTCAGAGCAGTGCTGGGGTCACCACTCAGAGTGCAGAGATTTGGACAGTTAGTACGTGCTGCGAGTCTGCGTTTTTCACTGGAGATTTTGAGAGTTTTCAAAGAACACAGCTGTAATGATTGATTTGGTTTTCCCTGTTACCTGAGTCCAAGGGGATACGGCCTGTGTCCTCTGTCCCTGAACCCTCTGCTTCCACATACACTACCATGGTTTACATGTTCCCCCATTGACTGGAAACCTACTGTGCCCCACAGCCTGATAAATATACATACCTATTAAAATATTTTTTGTAGTCATTACATTTGTAGATATAAGTCCATTTGTTTCATTGCTTTTTTTCCTGACTAATGCTCATCGAGACCCAACAAAGGAAATTCATTCTTAAGTAGTTTGGATGGTTTTCCTGCTTGGAAGAATCCTTTTAATTCCCAGGGACTAACAAGTACTTAATCATTTTTTTAAAAAAAACAGATTATGGAATATCCACTTTCTGCAGGCAAACTGGACCAGAAGACAGGCACACAACTTCTGAGGAAGTCCAGCCCTTATCTTGTAAGAATCTAAGGCTTTACGGGAATTGATTGAGAAGCCCAGAAGAGCTGCGGACTTACCTCAAATAATGGAAACTTCAACGGCAGGAAAATACTTTGGTTTGGGGTTTTGTCTCATGATTCTGTCCTTCACACTTAATCACCCTAGGAAGGATTTAAAGGTTCATAGTCAGTGAAGAGTTTTCAATTGCCAAGGAAGCCTAGTTGCCCACCATCTGTGACAGGGGTCCACTTTCTTGATTCATTTCAGAACATCTCTGAGAATATGATTCCCGCTGCCATTCAGGAATATTTAGGAGGGACAGAAGACCCTGTCAAAAAGAGAAACTTATTTGTAAACTTGATTGGAGATGTGCTATTTGCTGTCCCATCTGTACTTGTGGCTCGTCATCACAGAGGTGAGATCCAAGGATTGGATTCCAGGGTCACTGTGACCAGCTTTTGTTCCTGACACACCTAGCTAGCGCAGACAGATGTGGAAACTATTGAGGATCAGGCCTCAAAGCCCGGATCCACATGGAGAGGGATAGTACTGTCCTGTTGGTGATCTGCTAGTATGGAGCCTGTGCTGAAAATAGGATCCAAATATGTGTAGTTAATTTGGTAGGTGATTCAGAAAACAGCAGTAAGAGATGAGGAAGAAATGACTGACACATACACACCCCTTTGCATGTGGTGTTTCTTATTTCTTAGTGGCCCTGGAATTTCTCCATGTCTTTTGAGTTCTGATATATTTATCGCTTTGTGCCTTTGATGAAATTAATTTGTCATCTCTGTATCCTACACCTGTGGTACATCATCTATCCCGAATTAGGAAAAAATGTAGCCATAATTTCCTGAAATGTGCTTTCTGGTCCCCTTCTCCTTTCTTCTGTTCCTGGGCAGATTCTTAGTCACTATCTCTGCTTTTCTACTCCCCAGTTGGTATTTACCAAATTGATGCCTTTCTCCTTTTAAAGCTTTGTATTGCATTTATAAGAATTTTGTAAACCTCAGTGATAAGCAAATTTAATTTCTTAGATAAGCAAATTTAATTTCTGTCACTTTTCTTGGATGGCCGAGAAAAGCACTAGAAATACTCGGAATTAGACTGAATGGAAGGCGCTTGTTAGTCTGTAGATTGGTTTTCAAAGACAGGGTTTCACAATAGAATACCAGCTGGCCTGGAACTCGCTATGTAGACCAGGCTGGCCTCAAACTCACAGAAATTTGCCCGTCTCTGCCTCCCAAGTATTGAGATTAAAGGTGTGTACCACCATGCTTAGCTAGTTATAGATCTTGAACTCAGTGAGCACCAGGGTGTTTGCAGTGAGAATATTCAGTGCGTTTACTATATGCATTCATCTACTTTTTCTCTATTCAGTAAACACCTGGCTCAAATTCCAGTTCCACTCACCCAGGTGTGAAGCTCTAAGCAAGTCACTGGGCTTTCTTGAAACTGTTTATCTCCTGTGCAGCTAACCAGGGCCTTCTTTGGGTGTTGGAGACCTCGAAACCATCCAGATGTGTGTTTCTTAACACTAATTGTGCCTGGATGTATGTCTTCTCAGATGCTGGAGCCCCCATCTATATGTATGAGTTTCAGTATCGCCCGAGCTTCTCATCAGACCTGAAACCTGGGATGGTTTTGGGAGACCATGGGGATGAGCTTTCCTCAGTACTTGGTGCCCCATTTATAAAAGGTAATGGTTTTTTGTTAGTTATAACTTGAAGATAGGAGGCCTGCATAGCAGTCTTGCTTTGGTGGTCTTGAGAAAGTTTCTCCTTCCCTCTGGAGCTCTGGATCTTAGTTTTATGATTCACTGAAATGAGGCTGAGTTACACTGGGTAGTCCTCAACCTTTCTCCTTGCTCCAGTGTACATGAAGGAGAGCTAGTTTATGTGCCCCCAGTGTAGTCACTCTCAAAATTCTGACCTGTGACTTCAGTTACAGGGACTGACTCACCTACAGGACTTTGCTTGAAGACAAGAATACCACTGTTTAATTTCCTACTCACAAGAACGAGGGGAAGGTTAGAATTTGTGTTAATCTTGAATTGGATGCCATGTGTCTATTTACCTCTCTGTATATTTAAAACTCATATATTTTATACTATGGTATATATAACATTGCATTAATTGAAGGAAACCTTTCCCAAATGTCTTCAGTACCTTAACTCTCAGCAGTTGCATGTGACCTACCTCATGGCACACCAGTCTTTCCTAGCTGGGTGACTCGTTAGGATCTTTGCATTTCTGATATTTTTCTGACTATGAAAGTGTGTGTGTGTGTGTGTGTGTGTGTGTGTGTGTGTGTGAGGGGACTTAGAAAATAGCCAAGACCCACCAATCCTATAAGGCAGAAAAATCCCTGGATTGTGGCATTTCAACCCTGTTGGGGAAGGAATGGGCAGGTGTTAAGGAAGACAGAGCCGGCCAGCCAGCTCATGGATGCATGTTGCTGAGTCCTAGACAAGCCATCCTCCAGTTAAATGTGCACAAAAATTCTTCAGGATTTTCTTCAAATACAGATTTTGACTTGGTTGGTATGGAATAAGGGAGAAGGCTCTGTATGTCTAAAGCTCCCGTGGGAGTGACGCTGCTGCCATGTGGACCACTCTATGAGAAGCAAAAAGACTATCTTTATTCTCACAGAGGGGGCCTCAGATGAGGAGATCAGCCTCAGCAAGATGGTGATGAAGTTTTGGGCCAATTTTGCTCGGAATGGGTGAGGCTGATGGCAATGGTGGACAGAGTTGGTGGGAGAAATGGGGAAAGAGTGGTTTTTAAAGTTTAAGTGTCCAGATTCATGACCATATGAGTTCAGCAATTTGACAATGGGAACTTTCTAAAAATGATTAGATTGCCTTAGGAGATAGAGAACTCCTCCTCTCCAGAGCTGCGTGGTTCCATGACAGCAATATACCAGTGATCCACACAACTCTCAGAGAAAAGTGGGAATCACACAGAAGCATTGTGAAATCTTAATTCTGACTTTGTTTCTAGGAACCCCAAAGAGGAGAGTTTGCCCACATGGCCAGAATACAACCAGAAGGAAGGCTACCTGAAGATTGGTACCGCCACCCAGGCAGCCCAAGGGCTCAAAGATAAGGAAGTAGCTTTTTGGACCAAGGAGGCAGTAGAGAAGCCATTTCAGGAAAAAAAAAAACTGAACTATGAATGGGAACTCCAGCCAGTGGCTGAAGGCTAAAACAGCAAAGGCAGTGGTGTGTCACACAGGGTAGCTGTAGGTGTAAGAGGTTTCTAACTGTGGAAGCTCCAAACCCTGTGGTGGGGTATTCAAAGGCAATCAAGAGGAGAATGTTTCTCCTGTGACCTCAATTAGCAGCAAAAAATGTTCTTTCAGAGACCAAACCAGCGTCTTTGTCTTTGATTCTAAATGAATGCACTCTCCTCAGGGAGAGGATGAAGAAAGTCATCATCGTAGGAAGATAGTTCCACATGGGGTAGCTGTAGGAATGAGCATCCTGAAATCTAAAGAAGACAAGCACTTTGGGGGAGGGGCTGTGAGTATTAGCTTATCATCCGCTTCCAGAAATAAGAAGGTATCAAATACGCAAGGAGAGTGATGGAGCTTACTACGGTGCTGAAGACCACAAATGGGTTAGCATTAAAAGCCCTGGGGCCACAGATCCCAGGAGGGGTTCATACCCATCACAAACGCTTCATGAATGTCTGACAAGTGTTTATGAGAGCAAGATTGGAGGCAGACAGCATGACCGGATAAAGCTTGTCTCTAGGGGTCCAGGTACAAAACACTGCACAGGTTGTGCAGGAACAAAATCCTATAGCAAACAGGGAAAGAGCAGCAATGCTCATCTCATTCTGGGTCCTGGGGAAGACTCACTGAGGTTGAGGAAAAGGAAAACTGTGTAATCGTTATGGAACCTCATGAACAGAGGGTGAAGAGAATACTAAGGCATCTCTCAACTCTCAACAGTGAAGCTTCCTCATGTAACAGAAGGTGAAGCACACAGTGTAGAGAATGAGAGACTGCAGAGTGTGTGTCCCTGGACTCCTGTATTAAACCTCACCCACCCATGGCTCAGGGACCATTGCGGAAGAGGGGGCAGAAAGGTTGTAAGAGCCAGAGGCAGTGCATGACCATACAGAAATCTTCCTTGGCTTCCTTTTTAATGGTCTTAATTTCTTCAGCAGAAAAATTTACATTGGTCCCAATATCAAATAAGCTTTTCTGACCAAACTGCACCTTTTTCAAAACTTTTGCACTGCTTTTTTGCTCCCACTTTTCAGTCAAACTGGCTAAAACCAGCTAACAACAATTTCATAGCCCTAATACTCCACTACTTTGAAGTTTCTTTCACCAAATAATTAGCCTGTCATTTTAAATTCAGTGTCAAAACACACTCCAAAGTCAGTATCTCCATCTTTTAAAAGTTTCTTTTGCAGACCAGTTTCAAATATTTCTGAACATATGGTCAAGAATAGATACATCACTAGCCCCACAATCCAGTAGGGATGTTGGTCAGACTTTCTATCATTATGATATACCTGAGAGAAACAAATTTAAGGATTTATTTTGGCTGGGTCATTTCATCATGGTAAGGAGGGCATGCGGAGTAGACCAGCTGACACCATGATGGCCACATAGGAGAAAGAAAAGATGCCCGTGTTTGTGGATTCTCTCCTTTATAAAAACTATTTGGTATTGAAATGTATTTTGATCATATTCAGACCCCCTCCCAATCCCTACCCTACCCTATTACCCCTGACTTCATACATTCTATTGTCATTTTTCTTTTCTTTCCTAAAAGAAGGTTTATTAAGTCTAATTTGTGTTTCCCAAGTGCTCTTGGCTATGGACTCATCTCTTGGAGTCTGGTCAACCTACCAGGCATCACACCAGTAAGGATAATGGACTTTTCCTCTTCTGGTATCTATCCACTGCCAATAGAGCCTCAACTAGGAATGGGGCTTCTTGTCCACCTCCCTAATCCATGCTGGGTCTTTGTCTGCCTTGGGCTTGCACAGGTCTTGTGCATGCTGTCACAAGTGCTGCGAGTTCATATGTGCAACTGCCCTGTTGTGTTCAGACAACACGGTTTCCTTGTGTTCATCTACCACCTCTGGCTCTGGTGCTAATAGATCCTGAATTACTGCCTTATCACTGGTGAGAAGAAGAAAAGACCAGGCAGGACTTCAGGTTTTCTAAGTACCCACAGGGAGTGATGTGACATCAGTGGGGAGCAGACATAAAAAAGACTGCACATGAATCCATAAAAGGCACTACTTGAAGCCCCACTACTCAATGCCTGAAATTCCAGGGTCCCAGCCAGTTAGCGCACACCTTTAGGAATCAACAGTCTCCTTGATTGTTCTCATACTTTACAGGAATCAGAATCCAAGTGTGTCCTGGACTAATCCTTATTCTTCTAAACACAAACTGCCTGTCATTTTCTCTTTTGAAATAGATACAGCAATGAATCAGAGAGGGGCACAGTGCTCAGGAGGTGGATGAAGGTGTTACCTCTCTGCAGCTCCACTCCTGCTCATTCAGACAGTCTCCGGGTTAGAATACTTGCCTAGCATTCATGAAACCCAGGGTTCTATTCCCAGAAACACAACATAAAACACATACACACTACCACAACCACTACCACCAACGCCATCTTTCAAAAGGAGGGAGAAGACAAACAGCTAGTCAGTTGCAGATCATCTGTGCTGGACTGCAAGGCTAGAAATAAACTATTTTACCGAGAGGCTACCCCACCACTTTTCCTAAGACAATAACAACTCCTAATTGGAGGTAAGGAGGCTCTGAAAAGCCTCTCACCACCAAGCAGCACAAACTGAATAACTGGGTACCACAAGACTCAGCCTTATAAGAGAGAAGCTTCCTCTGCATGATGCCTTTTTCCCTCACATCATTAATCTTCCCACTAAACATTTTCTGCATCTTTTAAGGAAACAGTATTTCCACTTGCTATCTAAATCTAGAGAAGAGTCTGTGAAGACCACTCCTCTATTTATCCCCTATGAATTGACTTTCAGAAAATAAATGTGTCTGTCTTAAAATGCTGTCCCCACAAGACCAAGGTCAAGATGGAGCGCTTTTAGAAGTTTGGGTGTGAAGGAGAATAGGAGACCCCAAGGGGAGGGAACACTCGATCTGAAGGGGAAGGCACCTGCCCAGGAATTTCCTTTCCATTGTCTCACTGGACTCCCTTTCATCGCAAAAAGCCCTTAATGCACCAACAGAAATGGGCAGTTGAGATGCAAAGGTCTCCATTATTTTTCTAAGGGTGGGTTTTCAACTTGTTTTTAAGGCACATGTATGCTGAAAGTTTATAGGCCAGGAGGAGAGGCCTCTGGGAAACCCTGCAAAGACTCCTGCTCATTCATCTAAAGTAAAAGTATGGCTGGTACGGGACCAGCCAGGAAATCCAAGAACTTCGGGGCACTTCTTCCCTTTCCTAGGACCAAGTACTTCCACGATTTACCTTCCATTACACCAGTTTTCACACGGGCATTAAGTATCTTAACTGCCTCTACTTGCCATGATTTTTCAGGCGTGTGGACCCTGTATTTGGCCCTCAAGTCAGCTAATTCTGGGTTTGCTGCCCTCACTATCCCCTACTGAGGTCTCCAGTCCTGTTAAAAGAGACACCAGTCTACCTGCCTGTGCTGGCTCCCTGAATCTACTTTTGTAACTTAGTTTATAACTTTTAGGCACACTGTAACTGTAAGGACATGGTTAGGTTTAAAGTAGAATAAAAAAGATATTCCACACAGACAGAGACAGTTTGATGGCTATATTAATACCAGATCAGTAAATCAGAGGAAAAAAGAGGGACATAGAATAATGGAAAGGCCAATTCACCAAGATATAGCAACACTCAGGGCACATGCAGCTAACAGAAGCACAGAGGCCCAGCACGATGTCTTGGCTTGCTTCCTTCTGCTCTCCACTAATGGGCCATGAGGCAAAGATTTACATGTGGCTCTTTGGGGGAAATGATTTCACCAAGGACTGGGAAAGATGTAGAAAGAGAGACCAGACAGACCAGGGGACCAGCCATTTCAGGTCAGCCCCTGTGCAGAGCCCAGGAGGTGGCACAAAGCATGGGTCAGAGTTCCTCCAGAGGAGAGGAAGGTGTGCTGAGTATACATTCGTTCCCACTTGTAAGTGCTTAATGGTTGCTTTTTGGCCCTAGGAATAAGACCAAACCACAGGCAAGCAAGCAACCTGAAGCTTCATGGTCTCTGCAGCTATAGAAGGATCATTTCTACTTTGATATTTGGGTAACTGAATGGCTGGGAAATGCCACTCGACACATTTAACTGATATTGCAGACAATTATGTACTTCCGACAGTCTCAGCATCCTTGAGTCCTAGTTTTGGAGGTATTTTGCTAGGTAGAGGCCCTTTCCACACCTCCCAGGGGTAGGACACTCTGCCTTCCTGCCTGCCCATATTCACTCAGGTGTTTTGTAGAATAAACATTTGTATATAAATGACTTGGTGCCTACTTTGTTCTCATCCCCGAACTGAGGTTTTCCTGACAGGAATGTGAGAAAAGAATCCTAGTACTCAAGTGGCTAGCCACTGCCAAGTCGAGTTGAAGTAGAAGCTTCTTGGCTATGAACTGGACATCTATTTTTCAAGTTTTGGACATTTTTACTCACACCTTTGATTACGAACCACCATGTGTAAACTGTGTGGTGTATTCTTCAAGTGACTAGAATCACTAAGAATTTAATATCCTAGATATTTACGGAAATAACTTATGAGTAACTTTAGGAATGAGTAGTTTTGTGTTGTATCATATTATGACATCCAGTTTTACAGATAGTAGATGGGGTCAAAGGCCAGGTTCCTTTAAAATTAATCTTACGTTCTGCAAGTTCATTTTTCTCAACAATCACATTCCTTCACAAACATAACCAGTCTCATTAAAAAGCATGTCAGTTACCTCTGCCTTTCCATCATTTCAAAAACAAAAAATTAGGTCACGTTAATATTTTGGGGGGCTCTGAACACAGAAGCTTGAACCCAAGGCCTCTTGCAAGTTAGACAAGCACTATGTCACTAACTTACATACTAGCCCTAATGTTAGCATCATGAAATATTTTTGTTTCAAATAGAACCCTTCCCACCAAACACTTTAAGATATTATTTGCTTTTTCATATGGTATTTCCATCTTTAGTTTTATCAAGAAAATCCATAG